TCATCGTCATCGTCATCGTCATCGTCATCGTCATCGTCATTATCATCATCATCATCATCGTCATCGTCATCGTCATCGTCATCATCATCATCATCATCATCATCATCATCATCGTCGTTCATCATCATCATCATCATCATCATCACCATCATCATCATCATCATCATCATCATCCGCATCCTTCTCCTCATCGTCATCATCATCATTATCATCATCGTCCGCATCCTTCTCCTCATCGTCATCATCATCATCGTCCGCATCCTTATCCTCATCGCCATCGTCATCATCAATATCGTTATCATTATGATCACCGTTTTGCTTCTCGTTATCATTATCATTAGCACTGGCAGCATTGGCATAGGCGTTGGCTCATCCTCACCATCATCATGCATCACCATAACTCCTCTACCTGAAGTGCTGCAGGCCCTGCGACCTTCGCGGGCATGGCCCTCGAGGACCTTAGCGGCTACCCTCAGGCCCTGCGTGCCTGGGAATTCCCGTGCTGGACCGTTGCCGAACCTTCCCAAAGTGTGCATTTGTGCTGATGGAGTCATCTTAAGACAGAGGGCAGCAGCACACCTCACCTTTGTCCCCTCTCTCTCTCTCTCGCTTCCCTCCCTCACAACACGCTGGCTGTACATGCTGGTTGCGCTTGCAGGGACACCCTGGGGCTCAGGGCCAGGTCCATGCCATGCCCATGCACCAGGCGCCCCAAGCGCCCTACCAAATGGGCCCTCCCCATGCCATGGGCCCTGCCCATCATCCGGGCCCGCACCATTACATGCAGGGCTGCCACCAGGGCCCTTGCGGGCCGGGGCCGGGCCCCTGCATTCAGATGCACCCCGGAATGGGCCCACAAGTCTCTTTTCAAGCGAGCTCCGGGAGGGCTCCAGCGCCGGGCCCTCAGCGCACGGAACAGATGTGACGTCCTCCTCCACCCCGCCGAGTTTGGACCCAAACCGAGGCGGCCGGTGCACTACGGACCCGCGTCCGGAGGCCCTCTTCTGAGCCTCCTTCTCTCTGCTCTCAGCGCTCGGTGAAGCTTGGGCTCTCGTGAAGTGCAGGTGACCAGCAGGCCCAGGGCCTCAGAGAAGTGCGCAGCTTTTTGGTTCGCTTCGAGTCCTGGAGCTGCACGGCCAGGAGATGGCCATGGGGAATTTTGGGAGCCAGCTGAGACCCAGCAAAAATCGGAGAAAGGGGCGCAGCGGTTTTTCCCTCCTCTCTGTCTCTCTCTCCGTTCTCTCCGAGGTGCGGGCCCCACGGCGGCCAAGGCCACGGAGCTCCGAGCGGGCCGGGCGCGCGGGACCCTTCCGGGCGAGGCCGGGGGCCGCCAAACTCCCGAGAATCGGCCCGGGGCCCCAAAGGGCCACGGAGGCTTCTAGGCCCTAGGCCCTAGGCGCTAGGCTTCTTCTAATCAGGTCTAAATTCGTGATGTCTTAAAGTAGCTTTCTTGTGCTCTTGAGGATGACTTTCGGGAGTGGTCGCCCGGACAGGCGGAAGGGCCCCCGTTGTTTGGGCCTTCCCAACGAAGCTTTCAGCGAGCCAGGACGACTTCTTCGCCCACCTCATGCGGTGAGCTGCCGCCTGAGCTCTTCTCAGATTCCTTGCCTCAGCTTTGCTGAGCTTCGTGTTTTCCCCATCGCGAGGCCGTCAATGACAGACAGGCCCGCGCATCAGGGAAGACTTAGCAACATCCGGGTAGGGGCTCGAATTTCAAGTAATGCTGTTCCTTAGGCTTGCTTATGATAGCTAATTGCTGGTACCAGAAGACTACAGTTACTACGATCTGTCACGAAGGCTTGTTCCGATTGTTGCTGCTTTGTTGCCTCAGATGCCTTTGGGAGGCCTTTTCCTTGTGAGAAGGAGCTGAGGAACTGAGCTCGACGGCCGGTTTAGGGCTTAGGGTTTTGGAGTAGTTTTGGGGTTTAGGACTTGGGGAGTTTCCGAGGTTTGGGGTGAGGGTTTGGTGTCAGATCTCAAAAGAGAGAAGACGAGCCCCGAGCCGGCCCTGTCGCTTGGTAGCAAACGCGCCATGCCTGAAGACTCCGAGCTTCGGCATACCCTCGTTGCCGGTGACATTCCTACCGAAGAAGGTCGTAGGATACACTGCGTATACTGGGACTTCTCAAGAACCTCATCAGAAGGGAGGTCTTGATTCTGCTGTTTCCAGAAGGGGTTCGCATCTTTCTGCCAGTTCCGGCTACGCACGTTAACAGTTAATTCCGGCGATGCAGCCTGCATCGTGTCATAGCCCAGCTGCGGCGAAGCGCACTGCAGCAGATAATGGAAGCCTCTGAAAGAGCGAAGGTGGGGGCAGCACTGCGCAAGTGCAAGTGGGCCCGGGCGCCTTGTTACCGTCGCAGCTCTCTCCGGCCTTTGACACCCTTTCGGCTCTCAGGTAGGAGATATCAAGTAGTGATAGCATGGGGCCGCTAGTGGCCACCGCCGGGAGCCCAGGCTGTCGCGCCCAAAGCTCGGAGCCCCAAAACCTCAAAGCCAAACGGCGTCCGAGGAGGGGGCGCCAAAGGGCGCCAAAAACCCCCCAAAACCCCAAAGCCCTGAGCCCAGGCTCGATGAGCTCCGGGAGCTCCGATGCTCGATAACTTGGGCAACCGTCCCGGCCTGACTTTGCGGTGGTCCTTTGGGCAGTTGCAGCATGTTTCCACAAAGTTCCAGCAGCCTATACTACCAGGCGCTGGCCCCCCTGCAGCATAATCAGTTCCTACAACCTGTCAAAGCCCCCCCCTCCATATTGAACGATATCTTTGTGGTGCCTATTGTCATGGAAAGTGCCTGCAAAACTACCTTTGAAAGAGGCAAGACTACTGTTAAAGGAACCCGATATGGAAACCATCAGACCATTAAACGATTGAGCCACTAATCAGCCTGCTAGACCGCTGGTTTCCCTGCATCTGGAAACACAATGAAACATTAAGCCAACCTTCCTACTACATGGGCCCACTACCATTGATTTAACGTAATGGTTTCTTGGCTATATGGTGTAATGGTTTAATTACTTGGCCACTGCTTTGATGGTACAATGGTTTTCCAAAAACGCGACAGCCATTGGAATGCTGCAACTTGTTCTTTGTGAGTCATATCTCAAAGCGATGAGAAACATCATGACGCTACCGTACACAGCCTCGGAACAATGAGGACAATGCAGACTGCCACATACACATTCATTCATACGTACATACGACATACATACACTTACATACACATTCATACACACACACAGATACATACACATACATATACATACATATGCATACACATACATCCATGCACACAGACACATAAGCATACATATGCATACATACATATACATTCATGCATACAGGCATACACCAACACACACCTACACAGATACACGCACGTGCACATGCAAACGTGCAGACAGACACACACACACACACAAATGCATAAACGAAGAGCAGATTAGTAAAAGTCCAACAAGTTTTGACCGGCCGACTGACTGACTGAGTGGTTATGGAAATACCATGACGTATGTTTGCAAACCAGCATACACACACAGGCACACATATGTAAATATGTATATCTGTATGTATGTATGTATGTATGTATGTATGTATGTATGTCTGTATGGGCAGCAATAAACCGCAACAGCAAAAACAAAACACTCCCACCCAACGTCCTCCCACAGATTTGTGTATCTTTGTATTGTAAACTTTTCAACTTAAGCGACACTTTAAGTATGTAACGCCAACGTCCACCCACAGATTTGTGTATCTTTGTATTGTACACCGTTAAATTGAAAGGACACTAGAGGTATGTAACGCCAACGTCCACCCACAAGTTTTTGCGTATCTTTGTATTGTAATCTCTTAAACTGAAAGGAGTCTGAAAGGATCCTACAAGTCTGTAACGCCAACGTCCACCCACAGATTTCTGTATCTTTGTATTGTAAACTGTTAAACTGAAAGGACACTAGAAGTATGTAACGCCAACGTCCACCCACAGATTTGTGTATCTTTGTATTGCAAAGTGTTAAGCTGCAAGAACACTACAAGTATGTAGCGCCAACGTCCAGCCACAGATTTGTGTATCTTTGTATTGTGAACTTTTGAACTGCAAGGACACTAGAAGTATGTAACGGTTAACGCCAACGTGCACCCACGGATTTGTGTATCTTTGTATTGTCCTTGAAAACTGGCAAACCGAAAGGACACTAGAAGTATGTAACGCCAACGTCCACTAACGGATTTGTGTATCTTTGAATTGTAAGCTGTTAAAACTGAAAGGACACTAGAAGTATGTAACGCCAACGTCCACCCACAGATTTGTGTATCTATGTATTGTAAATTGGTGAACTGAAAGGACACTGGAAGTATGTCTTTGTATTGTAAACTCTCCAACCGAAGGGACACTACAGGTATATAGCTCCAATGTCCACCCACAGATTTGTGCATCTTTTCATTATTTGCATTGCTAGCCTACAGGCGTTGTATCTTTGCATTGTAAACTTTTAAAACTGACAGGACACTAGAAGTATGTACCGCCAACGTCCATCCACAGGTTTGTGTATCTGTGTATTGTAAACATTCCATCTTAAAGGACGCTAGAAGTATGTAACGCCAACGTCCACCCAAAGAGTTGTGTATCTTTGTATTGTAAACTGTCAAAACTGACAGGACACTAGAAGTATATAACGCCAACGTCCACCCACAGATTGGTGTACCTTTGTATTGTAAACTCTTAAATTGAAAGGACACTAGAAGTATGTAACGCCATGTATCTTTGTATTGTACACTGTTAAACTGACAGGACACTATAAGTATGTAACGCCAAGGTCCACCCACAGATTTGTGTATCTTAGTGCTGCAAACTGTTAAACTGCAAGAACACTAGAATAAGTATGTAACGCCAACGTCCACCCACAGATTTGTGTATCTTTGTACTGTAAACTGTTAAACTGCAAGGACACTTGAAGTATGTAACGCCAACGTCCACCCACAGATTTGGGTATCAGTGTATTGTAAACTCTTAAACTGAAAGGACACTAGAAGTATGTAACGCCAACGTCCACCCACTGATTTGTGTATCTTTGTATTGTAAACTTTGTAAACTTAAACGACACTTTAAGTATGTAACGCCAACGTCCACCCACAGATTTGTGTATCTTTGTATTGTAAATCTTTAAAATCTCAAAACTGAAAGGACACTGGGACACTGGAAGTATGTAACGCCAACGTCCACCCACATTTTTGTTGCGTATCTGTGTATTGTAAACTCTTAAACTGAAAGGACCCTAGAAGTATGTAATGCCACCGTCCACCCACAGATTTGTGCATCGTTGTATTTGCAAACTGTTAAACTGCAAGAACACTAGAAGTATGTAGTGCCAACGTCCACCCACAGATTTGTTTATCTTTGTCTGTAAACTTTTTAACTGAAAGGACACGAGAAGTATATAACGCCATCGTCCACCGACAGATTTCTGTATCTTTGTATTGTAAACTGTTAGACTCAAAGGACACTAGAAACATGAAACGCCAACGTCCACCCACACATTTGTGTATCTGTGTATTGTAAATTGTTGAACTGAAAGGACACTAGAATAAGTATGTAACGCCAACGTCCACCCACAGATTTGTGCATTTGTGTATTGTAAACTCTTAAACTGAAATGACACTGGAAGCATGTAACGCCAACGTCCACCCACAGATTTGTGTATCTTAGTATTGTAAACTTTTGAACCGAAGGGACACTACGACTAGAAGTATGTAACGCGAACGCCCATCCACAGATTTGTGTGTCTTTGTATTGTAAACTGTTGAACTTAAAGGACACTAGAAGTTTGTAACGCCAATGTCCACCCGCAGATTTGTGTGTATAAATGTCTTGTAATCTTTTCAAGTTCGACGACACCTTAAGTATGTAACGCCAACATCCACCCACAGATTTGTGATCTTTGTATTGTAAACTTTGAAACATAAAGGACACTATAAGTATGTAATGCCAACGTCCACCCACAGATTTGCGTATCTGTGTACTGTAAGCTTTTAATCTGAAAGGACACTAGAAGTATGTAACTTCATCTGTCCACGAACAGATTGGTGTATCTTTGTATTGTAAACTGTTAAAGCTGAAAGGACACTAGAAGTGTGTACCGCCAACGTCCACCCACAGATTGGTGTACCTTTGTATTGTAAACATTCAATCTTCAGGGACACTAGGAGCATGTAACGCCAACGTCCACCCACAGATTTGTGTATCTTTGTATTGCAAACTCTTTCAGCCTTAAAATTGAAAGGACACTCGAATAAGTATGTAACGCCAACGTCCACCTAGAGATTTGTGCATCTTAGTATTGTAAACTTTTACACTTAAAGGACACTACAAGTGTGTAACGCCAATGTCCACCCACAAATTTTGGAGTATCTTTGTATTGTAAAGTTTTCGTATGCAGCGCCAACGTCCACCCACAGATTTGTGTATCTTTGTATTGTAAACTCAAAAATTTTAAAACTGAAAGGACACCAGAAGTATGTAACGCCAACGTCCACCCACAGATTTGTGTATCTTTGTATTGTAAGCTCTTAAACTGAGAGG